TTACCATCTCCGCCAGCGTCCCGATGGGCATCCGTGCATCCGCGGGAGTCATGCCCTCTCGAACGGCCTGCATCCTGCCTGCGGTACTTTCGTGTATGCGGGCGGTCGTGAGTACGAGAGGAACGTTGGGACCCAGCAGACGCAGATGTGCCCCACCCGGAAGGTTTTGAAGTTCCCCCCTTTGAGAGCGGCGGCCCCCCGAACCCCCAGAACCAGACCTCGAACGTGCACAAGTGTCCACATCGCCCTCGAACATGCGGAAGTGTCTACATCCGCCGCCCGCACGCGTCGCAGATCAACCACCAGCTGCTCAAGTCGCCGACGTTCTTGGACGACCAAAGGGAGCTGCTGTAAAGCAGGCTTGCAACCGTTTCACGACGCTGAGAAACGAGATCAACCGAGATCCTGTACACTAGTGCAACGCCAGCCCTTAGCTTCCGACGTCACAAAAAGGCTGGTGTTGACGAACTCGATTAAACCGTCGATGTTGAGACCCAGAAGTCTAGTCTAGTGTCGAGAGAACTATTTATAGACTCGAAATCACCTGCATCAGAAGACGCTGCAGACGAAGAAGACGAGCTGGACGAAGAGGTGCCCGAAGAGGACGAGCTGGACGAGTTTTTGCGAGGTTTGCCCCGTTTCCTGACGTGTCCCACTGGTCGCCGGCCGAGATGATAGTAATCACGGAAAAACTCCGACTACGAGTCTCTGTGCCTCCCTCAACAGGCATGGTGCTGGTGGCAACCGCGGCAGCATCACTGTCAAAGCTAGTCGTATCGGCCGTAGCCACAGCAGCAGAGGGTACTGCATCAGCAGCAGCAGCAGTAGTAACGGGCGCAGCATCTACACCAGTCGTAACAGGCGCGGCAACAGATGCAGCATTAGCAACAGCAGACGCGTCGGCTACAAAACCTATCGCCACAGAAGCGGCAACAGGTGCGGCGACAGCGACAGGCGGCACAGCAGCTTCAACAGGCGCGGCCGCTACAGCAGAGGTCACGGCGGCAGGAGCCGCAGCGAAATCAGCAGCAGCAGTAACTGCAGCAGAAGCAGCGGCAGCGGCTAGAGGAGCTGCTACAGCAGCACCAGGGGCAGCAGCAGGGGCAGCAGCGGCAACAGCAGGAACCGCAACTGCAACATCAGACACGTAATGTACCGCAGAAAGTTCCGATAAATTTTCTGCGGCCTTCTTTTGGATCGACCGGCCTTGGCAAAGCCGCGGTTCAGCAGACGTAACACACGGTCCGAAACAGGTGCCGGCAGAATATCCTCCGGCCACAAATCGGTGGAGACAAGCCCCCGATCGAAATGCTCAAAAACGGCACCTTCGCGGATTTCTGAGATCCCTGTGACCGATTGTGCAAAAGAGCTCAACCCACTATCTACAACCAGACGGCATCAAATCATGCCAGCAGCGCGGCCATTCCGCAGCCTCTCGCCGCCACGCGGAGGGGTAGCCAAGCGCGTGAGAAGCGTAAGGCTTTTCCCCGAAAGCAGGCAGAAAGGTGTCGTCTTGGGAGCAAAGGGGCATGTGTTTTGTAACATGCACATCATGCACAAGGTCGAAGCATTCATGGATGGAGAGCAATATCCTATGCGAGCATGTTTGCAAACCAAATGAGGAAAGAAGGGCCAGCGTCCACCAAGCCGTCCCTTGGTGAACACAAATCCATGCGAGGCGAGGCCCTCGCGCATGGGTTCTGTACGCCCGTCTCGAACACGACCGGAGCAAGCGAACACTTCAATACAAAAAGTGCCCCACCGAGTGGGTCAGAGAGAGCAAAACCGTGCCCTCTCTAAAACCAGGTAACTAAAAATAATCGAGAGGAATAAAACTGTCGGAAGGCAAAAAAAAAAAAAATGCGAGACGCTTCACGCGAACGATGAGCACCGAAGCGAAGGACCGTTGTCCAAATGCCAGACGACGCCACAATGTTATGGAGGAACAAGGAAATAAAAGGGGGAGGGAGCAAGTTCGTTGCTCCTGGCTTCGGGTACTCACAGTTGTTGTTTGATCTCTTGTTCTATTATAATAGTCTTCTTAGACCAGGTCCGCTCAGCGCCCACTCGGAGAGTGAGGGAACGGGGCTGGGATTTTGATCTTCCTTCAAGCTATTTCAATACCCCTCGACGACGCCAACTATCCATATCAAGAAAATTAAAAAATATCCAGTAAGCGCTCATACAATGTTCATGAAACGCTCGTACAATGATCATACACTAGTTGCTCCATTACATTCTCTCGAGGGGCAAACTCTAGAGTGTCTGCGGCCTACGCCACTTATGTATTGGATGAGACTCTTTAGGTGGTGTATTAACTTCACGAGAGGTAGACGACCGTCCTTCACACGGACGAAAGAAGGAGTGCCCCACATGGGCAGCTCCTACACCAAGGAGGGGCTCCGTGACTCATCGCGGTNGTATTAACTTCACGAGAGGTAGACGACCGTCCTTCACACGGACGAAAGAAGGAGTGCCCCACATGGGCAGCTCCTACACCAAGGAGGGGCTCCGTGACTCATCGCGGTGCCCCCTATCGGCAATCTTGCCAATCTGCGTGACGCCAAAATCGTACAGCACATGTATCCAACATGTTGAGTAGCTTTGTGCGTGTGTGCCTCGGCGCGGGGTCCCGTGG